TTTTTATTTTAATAATATTTAAAAATTTAAGTACCAACTTATTTATGATACTCTCTCTTGTCAAATTTATTTGTCTCACTTTTTAAATAGAGGAAATTTGCTTTCATTATCTTATTTTTTATTTTAATAATATTTTAATTTTATCCTTATTTCAAAAGAGATAGAAATTTATTAATAAGATTTTTTTGTTTAATTAAATAATAATAAAAATGAAAAGATAAGTCGTAAGTATTATAATAAATGAATTTATCAATAAATGTAAATGAATAAAATAAAACAACTAAATCTAATTAAAGACTAATAAAATATAAAATTGTAATTATATAATTTTTTATTAATGAATGTGATATTAAAAATTTGATTGTCCTTTCTCTGCTATGAAATGGTTTTTCATTTCCACCTTAGTGAGAGAAATAACGTGCATGATTAAAAATCAGCATAATTATAAGGTTAAAATTATTAATAACTTGTTGATTTGAGTAAAAATAACTTAATTTCTCTTAACTAAAATTTTGATTTAAATCTTGTGAATAAAAATATAAACATAAGCAAAGTTTTTTGTTTTATAGAATATGATGCAATTCGACTTCAAATTAGTTAAGGTCAAATATGATTTTGAAATGCTACAAAGTTTAGTAAAACAAATAATAATAAGGTTAAAATGAAAAAAAAAAATTAATGAACCTTGAAAACGTAGAAATAACTCTTGCAAACGTAGAAGGACCACCAATTTGGGGCTAAGTTTTCATCAAAATAAAACAATTATTATGGGATGGAAGGAGTTAAAAAAATAAAAAAAATTAGATAAGAGGAGGAAAAACGGAAGCAAGGCTTGTTTGTTTGGTTAGAGGGCACCTTACTAGAAAAGTTTTTATTTGAAAATGATTAAAAAAGTAACATATGAAAAGTTATTAAATTTTGTAAAAAAGTTTTATTAAAATTTTGTTAAGTTATTAATTTTGTTGTGTTTAATAATAAATTAATATAAAGAAAATTAGTTGAAAAAGTTATTAAGTGTGTTCAATATAGAAAAATTTATTGGGAAACTCTTTTCTTTTAAAATAAGTGGAAAAAAAATTTACGGGATAAAAATTGTCTCAAGGAAAATAAATGATTAAAATATTACATTTACTCTCCTTTTATTATAATATTAATATGTGAAAATATATAAATAATCTTATAAAAAGAAAAATTTTTAAAAATTTAAAAGGGGAGAGTTGCTTCCCAACCAAACACCCCCTTAGGCTGTGTTTGGTTAGGGAGGGAAATGGTCCCCCTTATTTTCATTCTATTTGGATTTTTGAGGCGAAATCTCATGCATTTATATTTCAACAAAATAAGGGTAAACTTAGACATTTTTTAGCAAATGTTTTTATGACAAAATTCTCAATAAATAAACTTTTCTTCTCAATTTTTTTAAATGATTTCTTTTCACCCTTTTAATGTGGAATTCACCTGACTTCTTTTATCTAACTCTTTTAATATCAACTTTTTACCAAATATAAAA